CAAAATTGTTCTAAAGAAAAACGATTATTTACTAATTTTTCTCCATATTTTTGTTTATTGTTTTTAAGCAGTCAAAGCAATAAAAATTCAGCTTGGACCTAAACATTCTTCATATAAATGTATTGCATGTTATAAATGGTATATAGTTAACACTGTTGTTTCTGGTAAAATTGTTTTGCAGAGAAGTGATAAATTCCTTTTTATCATGAAATTCCATAAGCTTGATTACTATTTTTAGTAACTTTTTGTTTGAAATTATGAATTGGAACCAAAAGAAGTGTTGCTTTATTCACCAATATTCTTAAAATGTTTAACCATTTCATTCAGTATGTGGCAGTGGATTAAAAAGAAAATAAGAAGTTTATATAATTCTATTTACTGTATATTGTAAATCAATAAACAGACCTTTGTAAAAAAAAACAAAAAAAAACACCCAAGTATTGTGTAGCATGCAAGTGATAAGTCAATGTATGTAGTACCCATGGTTCGGTTCATATTTTAATTGAAATGGGAAACTTGACGAATGGCACATATGTATGAGAATGGTCTTCAGTCCTTTAGGATTAACTATGTTAATTAAATGATAATAGGTTAAAACTTATCCCTTATCAATTTGTTTTAAATATCTGTGTCTGGTATGGATTGTGATAATGTCATTTTGACAGTGAATACCGGTAACATCCATCTCATTTTAATGAGTTTTGTTTGAAGTAAAATTGTATCATGTTGTATATCCGTGTGTCTGTATGTCTGATCCTATCAAACCATGTCGTTATAGATTATATTGTGGAAACCAAACTAATTTAAAGAATGTATAATTGTCTTGATTAAGGATCTCTGTATGTATATATATATAATAAATTTAGAATTAATAACATATTTTTAATGATAAATAAGAATAATTAATGTATGTCTATTATAATTATGTGTAAAAAAATAATAAGGTTTCACAGTATATTCAGAAAACTGAGTAAATATATAGGATATGCTGTTACCTGAGACATATATCAGTTATACAATACCCGTTTTTGAATTCATTTGCTTAAGTAATATTGGGGGGAGGGGAGGTACTTTATTTATTATTTGATGCCTAAATACTAATCATATGGAAAAGTATTCAAATGTATTTATTCAAATTATTTATCTTTTAGTCAGTTTTAACACGACTTGTGTGACTGTAATCTCTTTTATGTTGAAAATATATGTACTACTAATGTATGTATTATTTATGCTTATCCTATTTTGGACAAATCATCTATTGTTTGAATTTTATCAACATTACGTTGAAAATATAAGTTCCATAATTTAAGTACTTAAGTGGAAGAAAAGGAAACGTTTTTGAAAATGTTACTGACCAACCATCTTAGTTGATAAACTCTGTGCATGTGTTTTATTAGTTGTATAATGTGATTGAACATATTAATAGTATTTATTTTCATATTTATAGATAAAAACATCGTTGTACATTCCCAGTATGAAACATTATTCCAGTCTACAACTTATCCATTAAAACATTGTGTGAAGTTGTGATGTTGTAAAATGCGTACTGTACCAAGTATTGACTCTGATCAGTGAACATGTGTCAGATGTAATTGTGTATCTTAATTGTGTCATAAACATTATTTTATTTGATCAGTTATATTATTCCTGTGTTATTATTATTATTATTATTATTATTATTATTTTTATTATTATTATTATTATCATTATTATTATTATTTAATATTATTATTGTTATTATCTTATCATTATTATAATTATTACCATTATTTGTTGTTCAATTATTATATTTACATTGTTGTTATTTGTTCAGATATTTATATTGGTTTATTGTAGATGTACTCATTTATGTTAATATAATAATTGTATATTTTTATTAATATATTATGATTATTATTTATTACTATTATTTTTATTAGTATAATTAGTTATTGTTGTTATTGTTTTGTTGTGAATATATTATTGCTACAATCTAAAAACACTCTTCAGAGTGCAGTTATTTGGTAACAAGAGTACATTAAAAGGGGGAGCATGTGTATTAGTAATGAAATATGTCTATATGTCTCAAGTTAACCCAAGTGAGACACTCCCATCAAAATTATGCTTGCAATTATCCATCATTCCTTATTTAAAAATTGTGTAATAATAATTTTCGTAAAATTTAGATGGTGCAATGTTAATATGAGAGGGTGAAATTATAGTGGTTTCACCATGTTTTGGTAATTTCCCGTACAAATAAACAGCTGAATTGGTGTAGGTTCAAGGAAACGGCTGTTTATGTACTGCATGCCAGCATGACGATAAGTGTAGGATCATGGCACACAGATGGAGTGCCTTCCATCTCCTTTTGTCTCGTTACTTATTGTAGCTGTGAATAAGTACGTACTTAAGTATTATTTTCTCAACAAGCTGCAATTTTAGCTGCTCTGTATACTTACGTAAAATCATGGCATTGTAGCAGTGCCGTGTATGTGTAAGTACTTTACACATTCTGGTATAATGGTGTATCGATGTAGTTGGACCGTGACAGCACGACTTTGAACGTGTTGTCGCAAACGCACACAGAGGAAGATGGCAACAGTGCTTTTCTTTGTTGTTAATCTTTAAATGCGAATCACGGGTCATTTTTGTGTGTACCATCATCCACGGCTTCCGATGACTGCAAATAAATTATGTCTGTGTAGATAAATTTTGAGTTGTTTATTTCATTTTATTTAGTGTTGACATCATTTATTCAATATGTAACTTTTGAAAGTGGGGGAGCCGTTATGCGAATTACGTAGAACTTCGGCGGGGTCCAGGGGGCAAACCTCCTGTGAAGTAGCGCACTCTGAACGTTCTTCTTTAGACTGTTTTGAGAGGATAAAGTGAAAATTGCAATAGACGCAACAATAGGCCTATAATAAATCAACAGTGGCGGATCCATTAATTTGAAAGAGAGGTTATCCAGGGAGGGACTTTCACAGGCCGAGGAACCAACCGCCTCTGCCACACCATGGTTGGGAAAATTTATGATTAGGGGCATCTCTAGGTGGCCGGAAATTACACTCTCACTTAAATTTGAATAAATTTTTCTTTTTTTTCTTTAAAAAATTAGCGGAGGGGGTGCGGGCCTTGAATCCACCTCTGCTCAAAACATTCTTTATCCAAAATAGTCATAATCACGAAAAATTGGCATGAAAAACCAGATCACATCCTAAAAACAAATGTATGGATCCTCGCCTCTGCAGTCAATAAGACATACTGTACTCTGAGTCAGGTGCGAACTCGATGGAGTTTAATGTCATACCCAGTTAAGGGCGCAGATCTGTTTTGAAAGATGACATTTTGTGAGTCGACACCCACCATGGTTGGAGCTGAGGTGAGAAAATAGTACCTCTAGATGGCCAGAAATGACACTTTTAGTAAAATTCATCATCACATCACCATCAAAATGATGGCACCAAAAAAATTCTCATGATCTTTTTATCAGGGATTTTTGGCAACCATAGAGATCTTATTATGTGTGCGTGTTATACCATAGAAAACAAAGCATAAACATTGCCTTTGAGTATACCCTTTACATACTTCGAAACCTTGATTTCACAACCACCTCAGCCCCACCAGGGTTGGGGCTGAGGTGAGAAAATTTGAGGAAGTAGTACCTCTAGATGGCTGGAAATGACACTTTTATATAGTAAAGTTCATCATCATCACATCACCATTATATAGTCAAACTGAAACGCCAACAAATTTATGATCTTTTATCAGGGACTACTTAATCCAGGACAACTTAGGCCTAACTATAGCTACTAAGCTTTAACTATACTATAATAATTATGATCAACAAATCACAACTTTTTTTTCGCAAGCACAATTTTCTTCACTTAGTAATGTTATTAATATTATTATATTATTATCAATTATTACTATCGTCATCATTATCATTATTATTGTTATTATTATTATTACTATTATTATTATTATTATTATTATTATTATTATTATTATTATTATTATTACTATTAGTAGTATTATTAAACAAAAATTCAAAGAAGCTTGCAAAAGGATAAAAACAAAACTGAACAATACAGTATCACATTTCTATATCTTAAAAGATCAGGCCAAAGGTTTATGGATTTAAGATTTTTTTTAATCACGCTTAGGCCTATGTGTTCTATTAGGTTAGGCCTATATGTATAACGTGTACTGATGTATATTTACATGTTTTAGAAGTATTCATTTTGAGTGATATCCCAAGAAAGTGTACAAAGCGGAGGAATGAGGGTGGGGGGAAGCCGCGGCTCCCACGGCTCCCCTGGATACGTCCCTGAGTTGAGACTCAAAAATCATATTTTTACAGAGGGTGTACCGAAAAGTTAAATGATTTTGTTATAACAAATTAATGAGCAATAGTACCTGGAAAAAATATTACTTTTTAAGATTTGTTTTAATATCAGGCTCAGGAGGGGAAAAATTGATATATTGCAGAACTGATTTTCTAATACAGAAAAAAAGTTTTTTGACGAAAAACTTAATTGTTAAATAGGCCTATTTAAAAATTGGGGGAAAGGGAGCATACCACCCTTTTTTCCCCAGTTTTTAAATATTCAAAAATCTGTATCTCATTAACCATTCCCCAGTTTTTCGTAAAAAATTCCTTCTGTCTTTAAAGATCAGTTCTACAACATATATAACAAAATTTTGTTTCCTCCGGAGCCGTACTTAAATGTGTTTAATTTTGGGCACAGTCGGTGATAATGAATTGCAGAATATAAGCCTAGCAAAGAAGATAGTGTGTGTGGTTGTCCGTCGAAGTGGATGGTGGAAATGAGAAGACTGTCAGTGAATAGTTGTGAATTTGAAAGTACAAAAATGTACAATACCTAATAGTGCAGGGGTTATGTAGGCCTATTTTTTCGCAATTCATGTTAATTTATGGCAACACGCTTTTCTGACTCAGAATTTTATAATGA